TAATCTGCAGCCGTGCGTAGTTGTTTATAAACAATATCAGTTTCCGAGCTTTTGCTGACACCGTGCGTATGTGTTCTTTTTATTTTAGATTTTCATCTACAATCACACCTAAGTACCTCATTTTTGGAACGCGTAAGATTGTTTGGGCAATTGTAATAAGGCCTCATTTTCTGATTACATGGAAATTTGTGTAATGTAATAGTTACATTACTTATTTATTTTGACTGTGAAATATGTATAGTGTTTATTAAAATATAAGAAATAAAATATGTTTAACTCACGTCAGGTTACTACAATCGATTTAAAGCCTATATTTTGATAGTTAAATGCAAAATTGGGTGCAATCATTTTTCTATATATTATAATACTTACTTATTTCAATTTACTAAAGTACTTACACTGTAGATACTGTAATCTACAACTCTGGAATAATAGAATGGCCCATAAATACATAGCGATATTATCATCCAAGAATAACCAAAATTCAAAGTACAAAGTGCCCAAAATGGAACTGATCTCAGGATAGATGCCCAAGGAGCTTGAGAGTTGGTTAGCTGAAAAATAATTGCCAATCTATTTTATGATATCTTTACACTTAGCTTTTGACGTATGATGCTTTGAGCTTTGATGTACTTTTCAAACAAGTATCATACTTTATTTTTCGTATATATTTATTACAAATTTATTTAATTATACCTAATAATAAATTAATTCACCACATTTGTTTAAACATAGAACATACGTAATTCAGGTATTATTGTTTAATTTTACTTTAATAGGGTGTGAGGTAAAGTTTACTTAACATTTTTGGTAAAAGTAATTTTTTTTTTATTGAATAAAACCTATCATCATCTTTTAAAAATCTTTATTTTTAGAATAATCAAAATTATTTTAAACCTACGAAAGAATGACTGATTTTGAGATAATAATATTTCTGGTAGACAACATTACTCGGCTAAACATATTTTGCCTCGAATAATCTAAGTCAAAACTAAGATATATTTTGCAATTGAGCTCTAATTACCTTTAAAGTAAAAACAGTTCCTATGGTACTGATGAGGTAATCAAGTTCCTCCTTCGAGATGAATGGGTGTTTGCGGGGATAGTCGGTAATAAGGAGCACCCACAACATTGACCAAACTACCTGTATGCACCCCACTATGTAAAAGCCAACAGGCCATTTTGAATAATAATGTACTGCTGCACATATCAGAAAAGTAGAGCAAGTGCCGGTTGTGATTCCTAAAGAAAACTTTTCATTAACAAATTGCTGTTCATTTGTCTTGTTATTAAAACTAGAGAACGGCTGGGCCGATTTAGCAGATTTTGGTGTTAAAATGATCGTCGTAGTTCATTGAAGGTTTTAACAGTGAGAGGTGATACGAAGAACACCAAGTCATCTATACTATAGTTATAAATAAATATTAAATAACATCCCATAAATTGATCAGATTCAAAGATTAGAGTATCTGAGACACACAACCGAAGTTACCTAAGCACAAACTATGTGTTTATATAATACCTATGTAAATCTTTATTAGGTTTCATCTGAAAAATACAATAAGGATGACGACGGGGTTAAAAAAAATGAATTCTATTTATGCGTCAATCAGATAATAGAAAAAAATATTAGATACGTATTTTTTTACTTCAATTTAACAAGAAATAGCTTAGATAACAGGCATTAAAGTTGAGGATTGGGGGCTCGTTACGTCACAGTTTTGTAGAGAATGTACCAAAACGTGACATCACGCGACTTTTTAACACAAATAAAAAATTCGTGTTTAACAAACAAAAATTAGTTGTCATCCCTATTGTTTCCTTACCGCAGTACGCCCATATGAAGTGATTTCTTTCTATTGGAGGTACCCAGTGCCTCAATACTTGAACCATGCTGGGTTGCATTGCACCCTGTCATATTAAATGTATTGTAGGTGTATCTATTTATAGTAATTAACACTCTAGTGGTAACAAGACTAAATGATTAGCAATAAAATTTGTAAATATCGATATAAAAATCTGTTTCTTACTAAATTACTATCTATAGGGAGAAGGAGAGATGAATATTTACTAACTGCACAGAAACCATTGATCGTGCGTACAACAAACACTGCCCAGAAACTGTAATAAGCAGATGCAGGTGTCAGGCAGTTAAGAATACCTGAAGTCAAGCCAGCAATACCTACCACCCAGGTGGGACCTAACCTACAAAATTACAGACCTATATAATTACCATCAAAAAATTTATACTTATTGCCACCATAAGGTGATCAGGAAAAAATGCAAAAACCTCAAGACCACAGACGAAGTTAATCGGTGCTGCTATGCCTGAGTTAAGATCCATGGTGGCTTGATTCGAACCAATTTAAAATAGAAAACAAACCTCTTTAGTTTATCGTAGAGTGCGTCTAAGTGTTTAAAATAACTCTACTGCTATTATTATTTTGCCATATACAAATAATTATTAATTATTTCTTTATATACCTAAGAATCACTTCATCGATTTGTGAAAATCACAATTTTCACAAACACCCCACCACATGACCAACGTAGCGAAAGAGAGGTATTTTATTTTATAATCAATTATGAATATTCTTTTTAATATAAAAAAAAACTAATAACGGACACTTAAAAGTAGTTTCATTATATTTAATATGAAAAAATTACTCAAACCAGACGTATACGAGGGTCAAACTGAAAGTTCTTAGAACTGGCCACTTATAAACAATAAAATAAAAAAATAATTCTAAAATTTGAAAATATAACTCTTTGCCAATATTACTGAGTATATATTTCATTCATTTGTCATTTGTTTTACGATTTGGCGGCAAATTGAAAATTGTCTGTGTCACGTCATCATGAATTTAACACGAGAAAATTTTCGTGCAATGATTTTTTATGACTTTCGATGTCATTTAAGTCAACAAGAAAGTTATGATAGACTACGATTGGCCTTTCACGATGAAGCCCCATCTCGTGCGACTGTTTACAACTGGTTTAATGAGTTTAAACGTGGTCGCACTAATCTCACTGATGATTTACGTGAGGGACGGCCTTCTACGGCGACGACTGAAGATAACATCTGTGTTGTGCGGCGTATGATAGAGACTGACAAAAGAGTGACCTATCAACAGATTCGGACAAGCTTAGGCATCGGTATGAGTCAAGTGCACAAAATCCTCCACGAACATTTAGCGGTCAGGAAGCTTTGCGCCCGGTGGATACCTCATAATTTGACTGAGGCTCAAAAACTCCATCGTGTGGATTGGTGTCGTAAAATGATTGAAAGATTTAACGGAGGTGACTCAAATGCTGTGTTCGACATACTAACAGGTGACGAAAGCTGGATTTACTGTTATGATCCTAAAACCAAAAGACAATCTGCTCAGTGGGTGTTTCCTTTCGAGGAGTTGCCAACTAAAGTGAAGAGAGATCGAAGTGCGGGAAAAAAAATGGTGGCCTCGTTCTTTGGAAGGATAGGTCATTTTGCAACAATTGTGTTAGAGGATCAAAAAACAGTTTCTGCAGAATGGTACACTACCAATTGTTTGCCACTTGTCTTGGAAAAAGTTCGAGAGAAACGACCTCGCAGTAGGATCCTCCTTCACCACGACAACGCCTCGTCGCACACCGCCAAGCGAACGATCGACTATTTGGCGACATCAAACGTTGAATTACTGGGTCACCCGCCGTATAGCCCCGACCTCGCGCCTTGTGATTTTTATTTATTTCCAAAAATTAAAGAAAAACTTAAAGGAAAGCGGTTTATGAATGCTGAAGAAGCGGTGGCTGCGTATCGCGATGCCATTGAAGAGACCCCTAAGGACGAGTGGGCAAAGTGCTTTTCCCAGTGGTTCCATCGCATGCAGCGGTGTATTGACGTGAATGGACAATATTTTGAAAAGATATAATAAAACTAATAACTGGCTAATGTAATCAGTTTTTGATTTTCTAAGAACTTTCAGTTTGACCCTCGTATGACCAGAAATTGACTAGCCACGTTCAAATTCCCACTGGGTTTCTATCTTCCTAGTAGGATTATAGCTAACAGTTATCATATAACAGCTACTAGACTTTAGAAAATCAATAAATTTAATTACCTATCTCCAAGATTGTGAAATATAGGGAAACAAATACAATATCCAATATGATATGCAGAAAATAGCTTTGACATTTTCATATCATCCCAATTGATTATATCGGCCGCATTCTGAAAGTGGTTTAAAAATTTAACTATATACAAGATAGGTACAGAATACTTTTATAAAAAAAAAAAACACAAAATACATTGTTTGAGTTCTTACCGAAAACCTTATGTTTTGTCTCCTTTTGATATTTGAACTGGAGTTCATTGTATATTCACTTTTAGATATATATGTCATTTCAACTATATGCACGCTAATATTATAACGGACTACGTATGCCAGAAAATATCCGAGAAAAATCATAACGCCCACCTTAAAGAGAAATACGTGAACTTGAAATGGATGAGCAAAATTTTTGAGACAATAACATCATATAACTCACCAAGACTCTGACCCTTATTTTAAACATAATTAAAAGTATTTGTAAAATAACTTATAAACACATTCAGGCACGACCATCTCGATCTACCCCTTATTTTTAAAGTATATTGCAAGTAGCTTTCTAATATTGTGAATCAACAATTTCAATATTTAGATATCTACGTTTGATCAAACGATTTTGAAGAAATTTGGCAGAAGTACCGAATATAATTAATAACGATAGGATACTTATTCAAAGAATTTGTTTTGGCTTACAATTCCCAAGTCCGTGCAGAAGAATTCTCTTAACTAAAGTCAATGACGAGACTTCATTTAACCACTTGTGCTTACATACCACAACTAAACTATGACCTATGCATTTTAAAAACATTTGAGACACATTAAAATATTTTTTGACAAGTAGACTTTTAATGCTTAGAAACTTTATGATTAGCAAACATCATGTCCTGCTCGCACAAAAACCCAGTCAATTTTTATTTTAATTCATTGCCAACGACATCTGATGTTTGTTAGTTACTTTATTCTTGGTATAAGGTTAAATTAAAACTCATTTACTTAATTTTTAAAATTTAATATTATCACTACTTCATAAAAATTCGAGTTAATTAGTACATCATATATCAGTTTACGATCGAGGCCTTCTCCTCGATGGAATGGTTTTTAAACGATCTTACACCAATAAATATTTATTATAGTACATTAATTTAGTGATATTCAGAAATAGTCTAAATAAGGAAGTCATAACACCCCGATCATCAATAAATAGTCGAGCATCAATACCTTATAATCAATTTAATTCGTTATAATAGTATAATTAATATTAAATTAAGTAAATACGTATGAAAAAAGGTACATCATCTCTTTAAGATATAATAAAACATTTAAAAATGAATCAAAGAAATTGGCAGCAGATATGTACAATGTGGCATGAAATTGCGGAAAATTATATATCAAAAGCAAATGGTGCTGGTACTATAATTATTTATAAATACGTGAAGTCAACATTTAACTTTAACAGATCATGTATTCCATTTGGATTTAAATTACTATTATAATACTAAAACAATAATTAAATGCTTTAATTGTTTACTAGTAAATAAAACAAATTGGAGAATTAGTAGAAATACTTCAAACACTAACGTCTAAAAAATCAATTCAGAAACCTATTGAGAAGAGTACAAAAGCTCAAATGATTATATTTAAAATTTCTTTTTTACTTTTTACAAAGCAAAAACTCCTAGTTTTTATCATACTGCCATCAACTGATCATTACAAAACTAAAAGTAACGAAAACCTGTATAATTGACGTTTAAGTACAGTGTGAGACGTGCTTAACTTTAAGTAGGTACTCAATTCAGAAACCGGGTATATCCGCTTGGGCTTAGAACGCATTGTGATTTAACGTTTGTCTGAAATCGTAAAAATGAAATAATAGCCTTCTAAACAAGTGCACACATAAGCAGTCTAGATACGCCAGTCACAATATACGCTGCTTTGCCTTTTTAACTTTGTCTAAACCGCGTGCGTTTAAACGCAATGCGGTCTCAAACTTACGAATATAAACTAACACTACTACTACTTCTCCGATTTGCAGTAAACAATCTTCCCAAACAAATAGTTTACATAAACGTTTAGAAATATTAAGACATATACTTATGTAAAATATTTTTATGGTTAATACTGCTCGAAAGAGTTCCAAACTCAAATTCAAAAAGTCATCATGGTAAAATCTTAAGCTATCAAAACTTTACAGATTTGTAATAATACATTGAACATAATACAACGTAAAAACCTTCAGCATACTCAAAAAATGTCGCTAATTTAAATCATTTGATTTAGCTTATTGTAGTAAATGAATAGACATTAATCAAGGCTAAATACTTAGATTAGATTTTCATACGCAGTTTGGACATTTCCATTTGGTACCAACAAATATGTAATAATTATATACGAACAAGTTGTTAGAATTTAATAACAAAAGTACACACATACATAACAATGCAGCAAGAAACTATGTTGGCTAAGTAATGATAACTTTATTACACTACCTAAAATCTCACTGACATGTCTATCTTATCACATCAAAATAAAGTGACCAAAAATTCGGATATATTTAAATATTATCGTCAAATAATCACACATTTGTAACGTAACTACAAGGTCAAAATTTTAACACAATTAATAATTCAAAACTAACAATTTCACACCGCAGCTAATCAGGAATAATTACTATTATCTATTTAAATTGAACTGAATTAATATCACAAGTCCTATAAAGTTGTTATTATCTAGCTGGCGACATTTAATGAAGTTTCTTTTATTTCTTTTGCGTCACCTTTTCTTTCTTGTGGTTCGTTCATCTCTTTGAGGGCATTATTTTTTTCTTTGTCTTCCTTGATCTCGTTGTCTTCCTTTCCAAAATTCCAAGGTTGAATATTTCCAGTACCAAATAATATGAAGAATATAGCTGAAACCACATAGACCGACGCGCCGACAAAGAAGACAGGACGCCATTGCTCGAAAGTATTCTGTTGTTTAAAAGAGAAAATAATATAATTTAAGATCTACCCCAACTAACATTTTGTTTATAAGAATAGGTGCTACATGAGCTGCTAAAGAGAATTTTAAGAACTAAAGGCACTAAAAATTGGATGATATAGCGTTCTGTATCTTTCTTATAACTTTGATTTAGGCCTGTCGATTTAAGAGATTAAAGTGATTTAATGGTTGGAGTAGTGATAAAAGTTAAAACAATGCTATTGCAACAGTGATAACCATTTAAAGTGTTTTATAAGCTAAACACACGATACAACTGCAAGTTAAAGTAGTAAACAAGTTATGGAAACCACTTTAATTACTTTTTGGTTACATAGGTTTTTTATTTATTTCTAGTAATATAACTTATTATGAGTCAAGTGTTAAAGATTATTATGGGGTATTTAATCTAATACGGCGGTAAGTATACGGTAATAATATATACTAATTAGTTTTCATCTCATTTTTAAACGCCTTATAATAAAACTTCTTTTGATGATAAAATAATATAAAATCAACTGCCCGAAAATATTTTTTTTCTTTATTTATCATATTTTTCAATTCATGTGGTACCAGTAAGACATTTTAATTGAAAATTATAAATAATGTAAGTAAATAAGTGGACCAGTAATAAATGAATAAGTTATTTGTTTTACATTTTTTGTAGGTTGCCTTTATTAAATGGCGTCTTAGTTCTTATTACTTAGGATACTGATATTCCTACCGTAGTGATTAAATACTCAAAGTTAACACTTGCGTAGCACTAGAAGTTTTAAAACTTTTTTGTAACATTATTCTTAATACAAAATGGTTAAAAAAATCCACTTGGTCCCTGGCACCCTGAGATGAGAATCGGACCCACGACCATTCGCAATCCGGGCGACTGCTCTAACCACTGAGCCATCCAGGACCCAACAGGACTGACGATTTTTTCAAGCACTTGTTACTGTTCGCTACTACAGAGCGTATTCTCATCAATGTTCAGGCATCCACCCAAACAGCCAAAAGAAATATTGTTACAAATATTCAAACTTTCGATAAAGATGAGAATTTTGTTCTAATTATTATTATCATCATCATCATCATCATCAGCCCCTTTTACGTCCCCACTGCAGGGGCTCAGGCCTTCCTTATGGATGGTTAAGGAGGATGGGCCATGACCCTCCACGCTGGCCCAATGCGGATTGGAGGGTATTAACGACTGCAAATGCAGCCGGGACCAACGGCTTAACGTGCCTTCCGAAGCACGGAATAGCTCGAGATAATAATTTTTTGGTCACCCATCCCGTGATCGACCCTTGCGAAAGTTGCTTAACGACTACGATCACGGACCGCGGTGCTTATCCACTACACCACCGAGCTACTCATCTAATTATTATATTTTGATTAATTTTGCATTCACAATGCCATACTGAAAATTATTCTTAATACAAAATGCTTACAAATCCACTTGGTCCCTGGCACCCTGAGATGGGAATCGAACCTGCTCTGTAGTAGAGTATCCACTACCAACTAAACGGTCGTTGGCAATGTTAAAACGTTACGACAATAGTACTTATATAATAACGTAAACTATTTTAAGATTACGAGTAATATCGACCGATTTTATTTAACTCTTAAATTTCTAACAACTCCATAGAAATCAACAGACGTTATTTAATGGATAATTAATTGGTCGAAACCCTTCCTGGGTGGGTCTGACTCGCACATGGCTGGTATTTGAGGTTAGTTTAGGTTAAGTCACTTACCTAAATCCAATTACTCAACTTAAAGTGATAATGAAGAGTTATAAATATTGCATTATGTTTACTGTTATATAAAAGTTTTTATAAAACCAAAATATTACTATGAATAAACTCCATTATGTAACCTGAAATGATTTAAAGGTGGATTCTAACTCTTGCAGAATCTAGCTCTAAAGGACTTATAATAATCAACAATTCTTAGATGCTTCTAGCTTTCTTGCTAACTCTTAAGTCTCGACAAAACTTGTTAGGTGGTACAAAATATTTATCTAACTCTTTTTAAGAATACCATTCGATACTAAGTGTTTGTACACACCTTACAATCACTCACAGCCTTTAATACTTCTTGAAGTTATTAGGATAAGCCTCAAGGTGTTATAAGACATTTCATATCTCACTAGTAGAGTATCAGCCGTAAGTTAACACCTTACAACTGCTTTTATTGTTTTGTGTTTCTTTAGTTTAAGAATAAGCTATATAATCGTTTCGATAAACTTTATGCTACCGTCTTAAGTAATATATTTTTCTTTATTACTGTTAATCCTCTGGAAGATTAAATTATTTATAACTAACCCCACTAAAGAGTCAATTGTTGTTATCAGGGGTCTTATATACCATATATAATACTAAGACACCTAAAAAGGCTGCCATAAGTACTAAGATGTTAGGTAGGGCTATTCTGGCTGTAAATCAAACGCGCATCTACTCAATATTTTAGAGAATCGTTTCTTTAACCACACCAATATTCGTAATTTATAAAAGTCGGAGTAAGTTATAGTTATTTAGGGGATTGATTCCATGAACCTTATTTTTATCTACTTCCCAAAATGAAGGTACATGGTTACTCCCATAAATAACTGCATTTGGCAGTTGTTGCGGTATGAAGAGCTCACACAAAACATGGAACTCATAATCATTAGAACTAATTTCTTTCTGAAAAAACTTTATCAACTTACCCCATTTCTAGTGAAATATGCAGTTATCATCGGTGTAAAGAATCCAGCTGTGCTTCCCACGAAATTAGCAACTCCGTAGAGAGTTCCAGCGTAGTTCGGCGCAAGATCTTGGTGATTTTGCAAGTTTGTAAGAGTCGCAGCGCCGTTAAAACCCATAGACAATGTGATCAACGTCACTGACAATATTGTCGAACAACCAGCATATACAAGTAACACCAATAAAATCCCAGGAATTATATGTGAGAATAAACAAAAGAATTTTCTGATTGTTGTGGTCGTCATGAAACGTTTAGCAAGTATGCAGTCTCCGATAGCACCAAATATGGTAGCCAGAAACAGTCTTGCGAGATAAGGCAATGCAGATATTACGCCAGCAGCCGATAATTCAAAGCCCAACACGCTTGATACGAATTTCGGTCCAACGGTCATTATAAAATATAAACCCCAAAGATTTCCATAGTGTAAAACCACCATAGCGAGAAACGGAAATGAAGTTATAATATTCTTGAATGGTGGTAATCCCTGAAAAAATAAAAAGAATCATGTCATAAAAAACGATACGCGAAAAATTGGTCAAGAGAGAGTCAGCCTCGCGTATCGACTCTCTCTTGACCAATTTTTTTCCAGACGGTCAGTCGCCTGTTGCGTATTGGGCTACACCTCCAGCGTAAAGAAACAGTAACAATGTTTTTATTAGATACGATTTTTAAGGCACGGTACTTATTTTTAAAAGTCTTGTTGGTATGCTAAAATTCACATTGTATAAAGAGTTAATGTATGCGACAAACGTGCAAATATTACCTTTGATTTCTTGACCTTGTCGCCGAGTGCTTCTAAAATATATTTCCTCTCTGCATCCGTGATCCTAGGGTGATCTGTAGGTGTGTCGGCGACGAGGTACCACCAGAAAATACACCAGATAATTGTCAGGGCCGCTGGCACATAAAAAGCTGAAGCCCACCCGAACTTTTCCATTAGAGGTCCAGTCAATGACCAAGTAACAACAGTTCCCAATGTTCCTCCCATCATAGCGCTCACAAACTTTCCCTTTTCGGCTGGCGGTGCCCATCTTGCTACCAATACATGCAGTGAAGGATAAATAAAGCCCTGGAATATAAAGATGCACATTTAACAAAAACTTTTATCATCGTCAGCCGTTTTATGTGCCCACTGCAGGGGCTCAGGTCTTCCTTTCATAACCATTAACCATCCAGTTAAGAAAAATAGGCCCTGACCCTCCATACTGCCCAATATGGATTGAAGGGTACTAGCGACTGCATATGCAGCTGGAATCAACAACTTAATGTGCCTTCCGAAGCACGGAGTAGCTCGAGATTATATTTTTTGGTCACCCAGCTCGTGAACAACGATCGCGGACCGCGGCGCTTAACCACTACGCCACCTAGTACACCATACGACATTTTTAGTAAAATTGTAAGGTAATTATTATTTAATTAACTCCCAACCACGACTTCGAGTGAGCATACTTAAATGGCACATAAATCCAAAGAAACCCCTTAGCAGTAGCGTTTGTAAAACTCAAGCCCTCCGTCTTGTTTTAAAATCTTAAAGATTTTAAGATGGGTCAGCCCACTTTAAAGTTAAAAAGGAAAAAACACATTAATTTCCCTACTAGTAGCGAGTTGGACAATCAATAATCCTCAAAGCGAAATGGGCATTAGAGTTAATAAATACTTATTAATAAAATTTATATATCTAGTTCGAATACGCATAAATTTTATTACTTTTATATCTCTTTACTCACTCCAGCAAATCCAAGGAAAAATCTAACGACCACTAAACCCACATAACTAATTCGTGCTGCCAGAGGAGAGAGCATAGTAAGGATCGCACTCGCTATAGAGCTTAACAGGACTACGTAACGAGGTCCCCAGCGCTCAGCCGCCATGCCTCCCACCAAAGATGTCACCGGATAACACCAGAAGTAAGCACCAAGAATAAGGGCTTGCTGATCTGCTGACCATTCAAACGAACCACCACCAGGTACCTGGAAATACATCATTGCCGTCTTAATTATATTAATCATATTTCTATGACTATTGTAATTTATACTCTGTGCTTTATGGTGACAATTGTAATTTATACTCTGTGCTTTTTTTATAAGTATCTATTCTATGGAATAATATAATATATACCTAGTACTTTTGCAATATGTAGTTTGTATTTCTTTGTCGGTCGGAAATCACTGTTACAACTTTTTTATCAAATGTAATTAGTTAGTCCCAATAGCTCACTAAAAAATTATACCCGCATTAAAACAAATATTCCATACCCGCATTATTCACGATATAATCTTTGTTTTCCTTTATTAAAATTCAGTTAGAAACGACACTCATAACATATTTTGTATTAATCGCAGATACTTATCCGATAAAATTATTGGAAAACAAATACCTAACTGATAAAAAACAAGAAAATAAAAACATATCATTTATCAAGTGATTACCAGTCTAGGTGCCTCTCTGACGTCAGCAATATCAACGTGGTAAAGAGTTTCATTTGACAGTTCATCTCGCGGCTCGCATTGTGATCGCAATCTAATCAGTAAAAGAAAAATAATGTAGTGCATAGTGGGTAACGGACCAAAGATCAAAGAGCATAATCTTTACTGAAAAACATATCTAGATTTCGACAAAGAGAACAAGAAGTAAGAATATAGATAGAAATCTAAATACTTAAAACTAGAATCAGAAATGACAATATTTTGTCAAAAAAAAATGTATTTATAAACTCTAACTATGTAACAATGTGCTAAAACATGTTAATCACACTTTTATCAAAGAAAAATATACTATAAAACTCTTATTCCTATGTGGTATGGCTACCTACAAAATGTTTTCTAAAGCGATTCATAAAACTCAAGTAATTATTCAACTACAACAATCTTTAAACTCTTGTTTAGACTCGCTTTGTTATGAAAAACAAAGGCCTTGAAACATCCTCCTTTTTCCTTTTTTGCTAACGATTATTTGACATTGTATGTAGGTATAGTAAATAAATATTAACAAAAACCTTCAAACGATTGATATTAAGTTTTGATTTTAGTAATCTGATCATCGAAACTTTAAATTTAGCATTCTAGAATATCTTACATTTTCCATAGTATATTAAAGAGATTATTTATAAAGACTTCATTCTTAAATTTCTAACCGTATTTCTCTTTAGTTAACATTATATACTTACGAGGAATTATTTTTTGTCTGCGGCACCATGGCGATGATATTGAGACTCATGTTGACTCGTAGCATATACACTACCCAGCAACTTGTAAACAACATTACCCATAAGTTGAACCTTACAGGAACTATATCTGGAAACATATAAAAATAACTTCATTAATGTCTCTCTTGATGGCAAAATAAAAGTGCAATTTATAAAGCGTTCCCTTGTCATAATGCGTTTCCAAATAAATGGGCATAATTAAAAAGCTCCATAAAATAAACTATGACTATCCTGTCAATGCATTACTTTGATATAAAATTTATTGATAAACAACAGCTATTTTCCATTATTATAATCAACAAAATAATGGTTATAATAATCACAAAATAATGCACGGAAATCATTGTTATTTATAGTAATATACCTAACATTTATGCATAAGCAGATTTAAATAACAGATGAATACTATGATTATTTTAAATATTACTTCAAGTACGATTTAAATAATTAAATTAAACATGAATACAAAAATATCTATTAAAAAAATACACTAACTTTTAACTGGTATATCACTCAAATTGTCTTTAAATTTCATTGTTGCCGAATTATTAGGTAATATCAATATATTATGATTTACTCAGGTATATGAATAATTTTAATAAAATACTTAAGCAATACTCTTCTCTCTTCTTTTTTAATTAATGGCTTATCTGCGCATTTCGCACAATTCTGCCAATGTCAAGTAAATAAATTAATTTTTACATGTAAAATGAAAATGAAATGAATGAAAGATGGCGATGAAAGATCTACTTAAGCAATAATGATGCATTATTTTGACATGTGACTTTAATCCATAAAGTAATAGTTACTTTCCTATATTTTTTCAATAACTATAGATAAATTTACTAGCTATACTAAAAACTTTTTACTTTATTCTGTATATCTTGCAATTACGTATAGTAGAGCTATTTTAGGCACTGAGCTTTTATTTACGTAAGCTAGGATCCAGACATTACTCGACTAGTAAGATATACCATATTAAAACCTTACATTATATTCTAATGTCGTTTATATTTAAATTAATTTGATTTTATTGTAACATGCAGTATGCTTTTTTACTAGTGATTTTACTACATTTGCGATTAAAGACAAACTTTTGGGTTACCGTGATCTTCCCTCTCTTTCTTCCGCGTTTTAAAATTATTTACTTGTTAAACAGTAATTTCGTAGATAAAAACGTAATATAAGCTCTAAGCACTATCATAACAATTAACTTTATAATGATCAAGATGTATTTGGTTATTATTGTGCATTTTGGGAAAACCTGCGCCGCTGTTTGGCAATACTGTAATACAAAGCAAACAAATCAGCAAAAAGTTACATTATCCTTATACCTATAACAACATTTTGTATCATATACGTTTTTATTCCATGCTCTTTTAAAAAACCGGTCAAATTTGAATCGTAATCGTCTACCGAGGGTTCCGTGCGTAAATAAAGTACGAGTATATCTTGAAATATGCATAATAAGGATGATGACAGATTTTTTTGTATGTCCAACAGGTTATTGAATACTATTAAATAAGAATTTTTTTGCCTAATCATTTAATTACGGCGATACGTTGAGTTATAATGTCGCATGACGTCACACCTTTGTACATTTTATACATAGTTGTGACGTAGAATCCACTCTTTAACTTTATTGCCTTTTAGTTTAACTATAAGCCATTTATTGTTCACTGAAGCAAAAAAAAATACATATCTAACATTTTTATATTAGCTGACCAACGGACTAAATAAAAATTTATTTTGTTACACTGGCATCATCCTTATTGCACATAAATACCTTTATAGCTTATATATTAAACTTCGACCCCCTATAAGACTAAGTAGTATAGTTTCAGATTTTTCCTCTAGCTTGTACTTTTAACGATGTTAGTTTCCATACGTAGTTTTAAACTGGGTCAACGGGAAGTATCCTATTTATTTAGATTCCCTATCGAAATATACGTTTTTGGAACATTTTTTTGTTTCAACCTTCAAGGGACTGAGTATATGTTTTTAATTTCAACTCAATATTTTCACGCTCAGTCCAGCCACCAGGGGGCAAAGTGGATAAGCGCCGCGACCCGCGATCGTCATTGCTAAGCAACTTGCGCAAGCAAGGATCAGTCACGGGATGGGTGATCAAAAAATATTATTTAGAGCTACTCCGTGTTTCGGAAGACACGCTAAGCCATTGGTCCCAGCTGCATTTTCAATCGTTAACTTCAAACTGAATTGGGATGGCGTAGAAGGGTATATTGATGAGACGTAAGAGAACTGATGATAATGATTTCCACGTTTTCCTGAAATTAATGGTCTTAACAGACAGATGGTCAAAAAAGTGATCCTGTAAGGGTCCCCTTTTTCGTTCTGTATTACGGAACTTTAACGATTCTTAGAAGTTCGTACATGGGCATAATATTTAAATAAATACTACACCAGCGAGCTTAATGTAACGGGGATACGGAAAAAAAAAACTTGATTTAATTATCAGGTTCACAGTACCGAGAACGGGAAAACCAAATTTGTTAAACTGCCAGACTTCGACCCCACATTTTTTAATATTGATTTGATTTGCGTTAAATATGTGGATTGTATAATCCTACGATAATCATTTTTTGTAAGAAAACCTGATATGTTAATGAAATAGCATATTTTATGGATAATATTTAATAAAACAATTTAAATTATTTCAAGGATTGCTCTTGTAATCGTATATTTTATTATATAAAGGTAGATGAAACTGAGCGATTAGTTGCTTAACTCATATTATCGTAAATAATTAGCCATCACTTAAGCATTCATAACTAGGAACTATTTATAACATATTAGTCACGTTACTTCATGTAGTAAATAAAAAATATATTTTAAATTGGCGTTGTGATGGATGAGACAGCAAGTAACATTATGTCGATCGTCCAACCGCACCTAATCGTTTATGGCGTAGTCAGTAATAGCAATTCATCTGATTGCCTTAAGGTTTTCAGTTTTTCTGCACTAATACATTATACTAAGTCATTCAAATTGTTTCCTATATACTACCAATTTGCAATATCAACATTTTGGAAAATAACTTATGATCCGTGGTCAACATATAAGACGTACCTAAGGAGATTTAAACAGAGTATATATTTCTTGTGTGGGTGGATAAAGTTGAAAAATGTCACTTACAGACCCCTCTTAAATTGAACTTCAGTTGACTCATTTGTGCCTAATACAATAGTGAGAAAAACTCTCATTCATTAAAAACTAAGATAGATATTTACTTAATTCCTGATCAACCATTATTATGTACACGCAACTGCACGTAAAGGTGTCAAATTGGATCGCTAAGAAACTAACGAATATCGTTACTTTAATAGTTCTAATTAGAACATGCTTAACAAACACTGTATACCTAAACTATATACCAATATACTTAAACAAAGAGACTTAAACTAATCGTCAACTTGCGATCGCTATGAGTTAGCGACCGAATTCGGTAAGATTGCGATCGCAAACTCTGTCGAGACTGCATTCCCCGCATCCCCTGGTCACTATATCGCACTCCCGGTGCGACACTGTCACTTATGCAAAAATTTAGTTTAAAACTCTGTCACCTCACAAAACAATGACTTTAGAAGATACAAAAGGAGCATTATCGCACCAAGTAAAGGGGGCTTTAGGACAATTATTACATATTTAACTAATTTTTGTATTTTTTGCAAAAGTGACAGTGTCGCACCGGGAGTGCGATATGTTAAATTTATCCAGTGGACTTTTAACTCTACTATTAAAGCATTAAGATTTAAAATGAAGTGAATAAATTTTACAGATTTGTATAACCTAAACTGCTGTTGACTACAATTGTACTTTAATGTTTTTCAAGATTTATTCACCGAATCAAGACAAATGTTTTACATAACTATGATGACAACACTTTTGTTGCTAAGAATGATGATCATCTCTCCTATTTGATTACCTACAAATAAACGTAATCTTGGCAGTAATTACTTGGAAGCATGACTGACGAAATTCATGTTTTGCGGTCGTAGCATCGCAGGTGAGTAAAACTTAAAATACAATGCAACATTAAGAAAGTTAAACAATACAATATTATTTCGTTTTAACCGATACTAAACTCAAAGAATGTGTGGATCTTCTTCTTAATGTTAAGGAATTAAATCCCCGAACTAAAACATAGAGATCCGATCAGATTAATCACTTTTTTTTTTGCATATACCGATTTTCCTTTACCTTATATTTTACCGTATATTATATTATTATATAACATTATATGTTTGAAATGTAATTTTATATTTATCTCCATCGAGAAAAATTAGATGAGCATCATTCAAAAACATTTAACTTACATTGCATGACTCCACAAACGATGCGAGTTCAATGTCATGGACGTTCCACAAAGCGACCTCGCACCAACATGTAACATTATTGCCTAGCCTACCGGGTAGGCAATAATATCTCTCACAACAATACTCTTAACAATACGGCAAAAATGGCACGAGCATTCAGGAAGGTTCGTCAATATGATCAATACATACATAGATAACTTCAAATGTTAAATAATCGTTATCATATATTCTTAATCAGTCAGATATGAAAATAAATTATAGAAAAGTTTTTTACACTTTAATTTTACGACCTCACTGTAGGGGCTCGAGCCTCTGTTATGAATGGTTAAGGAGGATTTATTTTTAAAGTTCTTACTTATTATTATCACATGCCCTTTGTTTAATAATTTGAATCACAGAAATATTTTTTTATATGTTATTTGAATATTTTTACAATCTTACTGTCAAAGACTAAAGTAGACTTTTTTATAATTGATTGACATTCACTAAACAAAAGTGTAAGACGCATGGTAGTGTGTGTAATGTTTATTTATTTTAAACAGTGTTATAAAAAAATAACACTTCAAACTTAAATAAATCAAATAAAACTCCTCTGTTCATACAATTTTTGTAAAAAGGAGGCCCAAATATTTTGCTTTACGCATTAGTACGTATAACGATGAAACTGAATATCTACACTTAAATTATAAATATAATCCAAGATCTACACATTCTATTATAAGAACTATAGATGTGTACAAAGTTTCAGAAA